TATGCCCAAACATTCTTTACTAAATATGTCATTGAAAATGTCCTTCCTTTGTTGTCATTGTGGGAATGTTTTATGTAAAATCCACAAAACATTCTTAGAATATTGCGAAATGTTGTACCTTTGTTAATATATTACTTTACAGGAACATTTTATAAAAACCTAACAAAACAGAAGTGTCATGTGAGGCCTTGATAACAGCTTTAAAACATTTTTTGTACGCTGGTTTGATGATGTTCTTCCTTCTGTGGCCCTGACAACATCCTAAAAGCCTCTTATGAGTGTTACACTTAAAACATTGTGTGTTAGTTTAACCTCATTATTGAAATGCACTTTGAACATTAGACTAAAAATATTTTCTCTAAAACATTATTAGAGCTTGTAGGTGATGCTGTGCCTGCTAGTTTGGATACTAAATTACTGTCAGGGTTTTGGCTAGCACTAAAGGCTTGTGGATTTTGGATTCTTTTTTGCTCATCCGTAGATCACACAGTGAATTTGTGTAGGCGTTTGCTATATCGTCCTCTTTAACCTTTAAGAAAATTGCATCTTTTGTAGTGGAACTTAATTTCATATTACCATATTTTCCGGACTATAAGTCGCTCCGGAGTACAAGTCGCACCAGCCATAAAATGCATAATAAAGAAGGAAAAAACATATATAAGTCGCACTGGAGTATAAGTCGCATTTTTGGGGGAAATTTATGTGATAAAATCCAACACCAAGAACAGACATGTCATCTTGAAAGGCAATTTAAAATAAAAACAGAATAGAGGCAACAACAGGCTGAATAATTGCACGGTATGCTTATGTTACATGACACATCTGAGAACGTGCCTGGTATGTTAACATAACATATTAAGAGTTATTCAGATAACTATAGCATAAATAACATGCTAAGAAGTTTACCAAACCATCCGTATCACTCCAAATAACTAAAATCCAATTAAATCTTCATCCTCGGTGTCACTTTTAAACAACTCCGCTAACTCCGGAGGTAGAAGATGCGGCGCTTCCTCTTCTACGTTGCTTACGTCAGACTCATCGTCAGTTGCAGTTCCAATTATTCCAGCCTTTCTGAATCCTGACAGAATGGTTTCGGTTGTCACCGAAGCCCATCCTTTGTCGATCCATCCAGCGACTTCCAGGAAAGTTGCACGGCACATTCTCCCGGCAGCACGGTGTTGAAGCACCGATGTGCGAACTCGTTCCTCTGGCTGTGGCCACCTAGCTTTTAGTAATAATGTGTTAATAATTTCACACATAAGTCGCTCCAGAGTATAAGTCGCACCCCCGGCCAAACTATGAAAAAAAGCACGACTTATAGTCCGGAAAATACGGTATTCCTAATTAAGCAAACACCGGCTCACTCTGTAAAAATCACACGAGTTTAACAGTGTGCATGCTGAGTTTTAAAGATGTAGTATTTTAGTAGAATTCGTGCTGTAGGTGGATTGTGTGTGTTGCCTTTTCCAATCTATCCGTGTGTGTTTCGGTGTCTTAAAGATTCCCAATGCGCCATTTGTTACTCACACATCATCATGATGAGCACGCTGACCTGCAGGTCCGACACACCGGTCTTAATGACTGCATTCGTGTGTGTTTATTTTTAACCGTGGTCTTAGTTTTCCTATAAAGTAGGGTGACATCATCAGGCACACCAACATAAAACGTGTTTAAATGAAGGTCTTTGTGTACGCCTAACTGGTTTTAGGTGTGTTTGTTCGCTTGTGATTTAGATTCTCTGCAACAGGGAGAAATAAAAGCAGTCATCTATCTATGTGTTCCCTCCTTTCCATTTACTGTGTATATATATGTGTGTGTGTGTGTGTGTGTGTGTGTGTGCACGCGCATCCCTTCATGCGTATTTCATTGTGCGAGACCGTTTGTTGTACTATACATCAAAACGGTTCGATACAAATCCGTTCATTTAAAAGGCAGGAGGTATAATGAATTTCCCAGCTGCCCGACACCAGGCAGCTCTGATTGATGACGCTTTACACCTTGATGCACCCGACGGCAACAGCTCCGGCTGCTGGTTACCTCCCGTGACTCCGCTCGCACTGTATCATCCAATTAAAGCGGGCCGTGTTGAAAGAGAAGGAGGAATGGCATTTTATAGTTTTTCTTGTCACCAATCCCATCCTACGTGCCTAATTCTGATAGAGCTAATCCCCCCCATTGTTGTCCGAAAACACTATTAAAACACAATTACTGACTCACACTGTCGGAGTGAGTGACGTGCACCTTCATTATGGTGGGAATGAATGTCGTTTTTCTTTGTTTCACTTCAATCCCACACACACACACCATTCTGCTGCTGGATTAAATGTGTATTAGCTTTTACAATAATTAATATAAGCATTATTGTTTACTCCTGTATGAATAGTTTTTGGACATTATGTGTTAAAGCTATGAAATCATATAAGTCAGACTTTTAGTGATATGATTACGAGACTTTTCCGACCTGCATCAAATAACGCTTGACATGTCAAAATCTCGTTCCGTCAGTAGCGTCGTCTCTCCGGCGTTGCCTGCTGTTCCAATTTCTTCAGCTGATGAGTGCAACAACCTTCAAACCACCAAAGACGTTTTAAGTGTCTCCATCAGAGAGATTCTAGCAAAGCCAAAAGAAAAATGAAATGATAAAAATTTAGGCTAAACAGTTTTGTTATTTGAGGTTTTCACTTACTCAAACAGGTATTTGCTGCCAGATTTTCACCATTTTTTTTATGGGATATTTTTACAGTGTAGGTAAATCAGCATGGATTTTGTTGTTTTGTTTTTTTATAGGAGAATGTGAGTGATATAATCTGTATAGTCTAGTTGTTAGTTATGCTCAGTTAACCATTTCCTAACTGATTAGAACCATAAAATGTTCGAAAACAGTTTCAAAAGTTTGTCAGAGCTCAACACAATGTTTTCAAATATTTTATTTTACCTGAGATTCTGCACAGACTTCACGGTATTCACTTTACTGCCATAAGGAAAACAGAAAAGAATCACATTTGACAAGCTTGAAACTGAGATGGTTTTGACTTTTACCATTTTATAGTTGAACATTAAAATAATTTCAATTCATTTTCTTTCAATTGGCTAAACTATTAATCTTCTGTACGTAATCTTTTCAGCTCATACTGAATCAGTATCAGGATAGAAAATGAAGAGAGGCTTCGAGTATGCAGCCAACCACCTCAAAACTGTGTGTAGGTATACACACAGGAAGTCAAGTCTCCAGATATGAATTTTGGTTTGAATATTCTTTTGTGGACATGGGCGGTTGTAGTTTGAACCGTGCAGAAGTCATTAATGAAAGCATGAAAGAGCTGCGGATTGCTGCATCATGAGGGTGTGGGAAGCATTCACATACTCGTGTTTATCTGTCAGCGGAGCAAAACAGACTTTGATTCATCCGAACATTTTTTACAGATTATTAAATCCAGATATGAAAGACTCTATAAACCTCTTTTTTTTTTCTTCTTCTTCTTTTTTTTTTTTGTCAATCAGAGGTTAGTTTCTATCGCTGACTGCATGAAGCTGGATGAATCAATTTATGAATGGTTTTCTGAGTGTGGGTACTGGAAAGAGCCTCTTAATGTGCAAAGAAGCAATTAGGTTGAGTCGCTCATTTGTCCATTGGCAGCCTCTATCCTCCCATTTCACTCGAATTCTCCCGTGCCGTTTTACCACCAAACCTCTTTCACATGCCACTTCCTCTCTCTTCATCCTTCTTCATCGCTCTTTCTTCTCCGCTCTTCCCTTTCATCCCTCCTCAGTCCTGCTCTCTTTCATGGCCCCTGTGGTGTTGACCATGTGTGAATGGGCCTGAGTGATGGGTGGGAAGGAGGCTGCATGCGGCGCAGTCACACACGTGCACACGTTAACACACACACACACACACAACAAACACACAACTCCACAAGCACAAGTGGATACTGGTGGATGTTGGTGCGTGTCTGTGTGTGTGTGTGTGTGTCGAGGAGGATGAGTCACTCTCTGCATGACACACAGCATGCTCGTAGGAGACCGCATCCTAGTCAATATAACACAAAAACACACACACTCTCACTCACACACACACACACACACACACACTCATATCAACAATCTAGATAGTGAAGGCTTTTACTTCCACATATGATTGATAGTGTTCATGTATCATTTTAATGAGCTTGTGTGTGTGTGTGTGTGTGTGTGTGTGTGTGTGTAGTGTGTGTGTGTGTACACTTGATGTCTGTAGTTTCCTGGCTGTGTGTGTTTTAGTCTTTGTCGTGTGTGTGTCTAACTGATAAGGCTTTTCATTAGTGTTTCCCATACATAGCCTGAAGGCTACACCTCTGTCCTACATCATCCGTCTCTCTCTTTCTCTCTCTCTCTCTGCTTGTTTTCCTGTTTTTGATGCATTTTCATGTCCACTTACAGGATGTGTTCATGTTCCATCTCCTAAAATTGGGATTTCTTGGGGCACAATTCCATGAAATCCCAATTTCATTTCATTCAATTGACCCTTGAATTAAAGTTTAAACATTTTTTTGACTATATTATTATTTATTTTTGTCAGAACATGACTAATTAACTCAATTACAGAAAATAGCAGGAACAGCAGTTGCACCCTTAACCTGCTGCGAACCTCTAACACACTCATGTTGCTGCTGTGTAAATACTAAGCCAGCAGAAATAAGGGCATCTGCTACTATGATATAGTCAGAAAATTGCATTTAATGCATTTTGCTGATTCCCATTTTGGTTCACCAGCAATCAGTAAAATACTTCATTTAGTCATAATTCACTCTGGTTTTCACTGGTTTGACTGCAGCAAATCTTAGGACTTTGCCTGCCTGCATAGGTTGAGATATTCCAGTTTCACGTGAGATGAGTAAAAATCCCCTTGTGTGTATATGTGTTTTAAGTAAAAGAACGTGTATTCCACTTACGAAAGAGTTCCTCTTATGGGAAAATGATGATCTGAGATGAACTGATTGATCCGTGTTTCTCCTCCGCAGGAACATTTAGAGGTGTGTGTAAGAAGATCGATCACTTCCCAGAGGACGCCGACTACGAGGCAGATGCTGCTGAATACCTCCTCCGTAAGTTTAATAGGAACGCAGTGTATATGTATATTAGCAACTGGAATCTGTCTTGAGTTGGGATCACACCTTACATCCTCACGCCCGTCTACCCAACATGCTAGATCCCTTATGGCCACTCATATTGGCTGGTCGTGCTATAAACTCTAAATCCTCCCTACACATTCCATAAAAGCACTGTACAGTAGGCATTGGAGATAAAATGACAGTCTTATGTACCGACAACACATTGACAAATCTGGCAGAAAACATTTTTATGGAGGCATAGAGTTGGGGTGGGTGGAGTCCCGATCCATTATTTATTTATTTTTTTTTGTTGGTCCACAAACCAAGGTGAGTCATTCAATATTTCATACATGCCAATACCCGATATCAATACGCACTTCAAGCATTGTCGATTAAATGTAGTACCTGGTTGCACCACCAAGTGGAGCCTCCTACGATCTCATATTGTAGTGACCAACTACAGTAAGAGGAAGCTTTCCCCACTGTGTCTGAACCTCTTGACTTCGAAAGTCTGTAAAATACATCCAGATTTTCTGTTGTTTCTCGTTTGCTAATTGAAACAGCACCACTCAGAAGCTTAAGAGTCCACATGACTCATTTTGCAGTTTTAATACATTTAGCATAACAAAGATAACTTTAAGTGCTTTTGAGCTATAATAACAATTGCTCGGACGTTGTCGTGACTGCTACTGTTAGCATTGCTAAAATGCTGTCAGATCCACTCAAATTTTTCATACAATGTTAAACACATCTAGAACCTGCTGTATTAGAACCCATCAAACTATATAAAACAAGGATCCGAACCCATACAGGTGGGGTCTCAGAGGGTCTCAGATCCTGCGTGCATAGTGAGACTAAACACTTTTTTGTTTCATAATTACACCGATTGGCGACAGCATTGTATTTGCTGGCGTAATATTTTGTAGGTTGTGCTGCAAAAAAGGGCATCGTCACAAGATGTCTGGCAACAAATTTGGGTTCCATGGGTTGCCTGATGGATTGGGCTTGTTCCGGCATATGCCCAAAATGCTTTGTCAGAGTGGGATCTGGCCAGAGTGGGATCTTTAAGTCGCATTGAGCAGTTTTTGCAGCGTGGCATGGTATAGTGGTGTGGCTGGTCGGTGTGCTTTGCAATATATAAGTCATAATTATGTTTACCATGTTTATGTAGCCATTCTTCTCTGTATGATTAAAAGAGGACGGCCCCGCACCCCATATTATAATTGAATTGACCCCAATTATAGAGCTGAAATTAATGGAACAGATGGACAGGAAGGTGAGAGGTGTGTATGCAATGCTTCAGATAAGAGATAAATGGGCAAAATGGAGAATAGACGTTATAAATAGATGACATGGCTTCTATCAGCAAATATGAACAAAAATTTAGCAAAAAAAAAATTTGCTGTGATGAGAAAACGATAAAGGGTGAAAAGGGAAAACCTGCAGACGCTGAAAGGATGCTGTCACAAAGGTAGGATAGAGGATAAGGTGGAAGGAAGAGGCTTTCTCTGTTCTTCCTCCTACTGTAAACACAGAGTAAAGATGGACGCAGCAAGAAAACAGCAACTAAAAAGAAATAGGGAAAATGGATTCAGCCTGTGCCTGTTTTTCATTGCTCCACTGAACACAGAGCAACATCCCCAGAGGCAGCCAATTAGATCGCAGGCCTCAGAGCTGGCCAGCCAATGAGGAGCAGGGACCTAGTGACCGGCATTTCATACAGCCCAGGGGTGTGGGCCACAGGGGTGGAGCTTGTACGCACAGTCACTGCAGCTGTCGGTCATGGCGAAAATATTTTGCTACGCAAGAAAACAGAAACAGATTTGCAAATGAAAGCTAGAATTGGCTAATTTATTTGAATGCTTTATGGACCATGTGATGCACAAGTATTCCTCAGCTTTAACCCCATATTTAAAAATACTACACAGCGCAGCTCTGAACAACAAGCTGTCTGCAAATATCATTAAACGTTATCACATCCTGCACACATATGGGGCTCTGACAAATATTTCACTCCTTGCTTTCAAATTCATCATCTGTGCTATTCATTATTTTTTTGCCTTGCATATGTCAGCGTGACTCTCCATCTGTCTTGGTTTTTGTCCATCTTTTCCTTCTCCATCCATCTCTCGCTCTCTCGCTCCGTCTCCAGCAAGGCCTCTGAATGCTTTAACATGTTCTGAATTCAGGCTCAGTCAAGCATGTAGCAGCACACTGGCCCATGTGTGTCTCATGTGTGTGTGTGTTGCGTTGGCTCTGTCCTCCAGCACAGTGGCTATGAAATGAAACAGCGTTCTGCACTTCCAACACAAACGCTCCTTCACCAGTTTCATTCTGAACAGAAACATCTTTGAAACACCGAAAGACATTTGTATCTTTCAGCTATGAATGTGTTCCAACTCTCCTTCGTGTGCAGGTGCTGTGCGTGCTTCCAGCATATTCCCCATCATGAGTGTGGGTCTGCTGTTCCTCGGGGGCCTCTGCGTGGCCGCCAGTGAGTTTTACCGAAGCCGACACAACGTTATCCTCAGTGCAGGAATCTTCTTTGTCTCTGCAGGTTAGTCATCACTGAGTATGCATCGTCCTGTTTGTGTTAATTTGTGTATTTTCTCTTCTTTATTGAGGAAGTATCAATTATCAGTGCATTGTACGCACATGAAGAATTGAAGCAAAAAGGCATTTTTTTCTTTGCTTTACCAAATCAACTCTACTGTGAAGCAGTCACTTTGCATTTTGAACGCAAGTCCCCTCATTGCACTTCCCAACAGGCCTTTTCACACCTCATGTTTGACGTCATAGTTACGTCTCATGTCCAGGTAACATCAGAATAACAATACTTTTTTGTGTGTGGTTCAGAAAAACAAACACAATGTAGACTTTTTGCTACAGTACCAGTCATATGACAGAAAGAATTATGCACATTTATGGGTTGATTTTCAGGTTAATCAGAATATTTTCACACGTTGGAAAGGTCTCATATAAGGAAAATTCATTTTTATTCTGTTTTGTGATTGTTATAAACTTAGAGTTGTAAAGTAAAAGCTGGTAAGATTTGATCGCATTCATTTCTACAATTTCTCAAGTCCCCTTTCAGTTAGATAGCCTCCCAGATATTCAGCCAGTAAGAATTTTACTCAGGTGCTGCGTTCCAACCGAGGAACCGATTCAGAATCAGCAGCTGCCTTTCTGTCTGGCAATTCTATGAACTTGCTATAGCTGCTTCTGCTAACTCGAAAATGTCTCAGCCACAAGCCAAGCACGGAAAATGTGATCGATAGAAAGTCCTGGTCTCACACAGCTGCCGTGCACTCAACTACATTTCTCTGGGCTGTCAATCATACATACAGAGACAGTCTTCTTCCTGAAGGAGGCGTGAACAGCAGCAGCTCAGCCACTGAAACAGAACAGGGATAAAACCAAGGGTCATACAGTCATGGTAAACATGTACCATCTTTGTACTATTTTTAGCTGAAACATTGAAACATACATTCTGGAAACATACAAGACTTTCATTGATTTGCTGAAAAGGGAACCAATATGAAAATATTAATCTTCAATGAGTACAGGACGTTGCTACATCTCTTCTTCTCACCCTCATCAGTACTTTTTAAAAAAAGAGCTGTCTGATGTTAAGGAATTTCTATAGGCATTAAAATCCAAGGATGGCCACTGCATTTCAGATAACCTCAAGGGGCTACACATCTGAATTGCATGTATCTATGAGTGTGTGTACATGTGGAACTGTGGCACCACGTTAAATAGAGGAGGCGCCGCATTCAAATATTGGTTGAGGGGCCTGTTGTTCATCTAAAGTACACAGAAGAGCCTGTGTGAGGAGCCAAAGTGTGGAGATGGGACACAGTAGCTGATTAATCGATCAACAGGAATACAAAGAAGTCACTTTGATGCACTGTTAGGGTGTGAGAGTGCAAACACACATCTATGACATGATTGGCTGACACTTACACGTTGACTACATCGAATGTGTGGCGTATGATACACACTACAATAGGTTAGTCCAAACATGGCCAAAACGATGACATGTGTAAACACAACAGCCATCATATGATTTCATAGTAATTTATTGCAGGCTAATAGCAGAATGTATCAGTCAAAGCAACACAGCTACGTATAACTAATAAGTACAACATTTTTTCAGTGTTAAAGTTGGAATGTTAGAAATGTCCAGCCAACAATTTCCAATTGTTGTTACCGAACCTGATACAAATAGGAGGTAGACATTTTCAACTACTAAACAGAATCAACAGGAGGAGGAGGAGGTGGATCAGGGTTTATTGTATCAACCAACGCTGGGGACAACAAGTTGTTTTTTATCAGTTGGTTGCAGAGCTACAATTTGAAAGCCGGCTTCATTACAGATACTTCAGAATGACTCCACTGAAAATGGGCCATGTCCTCTCAATTATAACTCAACTCAACTCAACTTTATTTATAAAGCACTTTAAAAACAACCACTGCTGACACAAAGGCCTGTACACCAAGAATAAATTATATAAAACATAAAACAGTTAAAACAATAACAACAATAAAATGCTAAATACAAGAGCAAAGTCTCATGCTGTGTCAAAAGCCAAGGAGTAAAAGTGGGTTTTAAGAAGAGTTTTTTAAAAAACATAAAGCTTCAGAGGTTAAATATGAACTTCACTGATCCATTAAACCAAAGCAATGGCTTGCGGTAGCCTTGAGGTAGCTACTTCACGTGCTTTTAAAGTATTTGTTGTTTAGACCTAGAAAATTCCATATGCATATCAGATAAAGTTATATTTGGTGTACAAAGTAACACAATAAAGCGATAGTAGCCCAGACATCTTTTGCCCTTCTGGAGTAGCCATTTCTGTAACACTCGTAGTGGGGCAATAGGCAAAAGGGTCTCCTCACTTCTTGCTTTGTTCATGTACTAAGACTGTTGCATTGGAATGGATGGAGCTGACGTATGGACTGAAAGATCTCAATGTGGTTTTATGCCTGCTGATCTCATTGCCTTATTGTTGGACTAAGGAATGGAGGAAGGTTGTGTTTGCTGCTGTGCTTGGTCCAAGTCAGAAACACCCTGCAGTGTTTCCACCAAGGCATGTCTTGCCTTTAACTTTCCCGTTGCATTTAGTTTATTAAGGATAGACACAAGGGCAAAATAACATATTTCATCTTCAGGCGGGACAAGTGGTTGTGCTGGAGGATCCTGGGCCAAAGTTAGACCAAAGACGTCCTTCATTCAAGGCTCTTACCCTTGGTGTAATGGAGCATCTTTGTCTTTCAAAGCCTGGAGCTGATTGCAATGTCCCCCACTGCAGGAAGTTTCTGGTCCCCGCCCTTGAATGCCCTTATGCAAAGACGGGGGGACGGCATGGAACTGCATGTCTGGGAGGTTGTTCCACATCCTCTAAATCCAACCCACTAGGAGTCATATGTTGCACAGATTGTAGCCAAGCTGCTTCTTTACCAAACAGATATATGAAATAAACGATATGCAGTCAGTTAAACTTAAGAGAATGATGTCACTGGAACTGTTGTTGTTGATTCCCAACAGGTTTAAGATGTTAAAATACAGTGTTTCTATGTCTTTAAGCTTGTCGGATATGTAGAATGGCATGCACATCCAACCCCAGATGGGTAATAGGTGCAAAAAACACAGTGGAAATTAGAACTCCCATAGTATTTAACCATGTGCTGTGTGGGTCTTCATCAGGTGAACTAAATTTTGCTGATGTTGCACAAAAACTTTCTGCAGAAAATTTGATTTACAATGTCCAGTCACTGTTCTCCTGGCAGTATGTGCAAACTTCACCTTCTCAGCTATACATTGGATCAGAGGAAAGACATCATTTGAGTATGTTTCCACTCTCTTTGGGATCCTCCTGCTGATTGTTTTGTTTGTTTTTTTTTCCCTTACTAGCTGAGCTCCTAAATATTTCCACCGTTTTTGATCTACAGTACATCCAAAGCCAACAGAAGAGAAATTGTGAAAGGTAGCGACATGTGTTTGAAGAACTGGCAACTCCTAAACTGTATAAGAGTCACTGGTGGCAAACATACAACTCAAGCAATGGGTCACCCAAGAAGATTGTAGTTATGTGCCCAAACACCACAGTGATGTGCAATTCACAGTGGTAGGGGTTTTCTTTATAAACGCACTTGATCAGGCTCCACCCTGGACAGAGTCTCCCCAGGAACAGTTCCAATTACCGGGTGTTATGGGTGTGCTTTTGGAATTCTCACCACACAGTCAAGGGGATTCTCCAGCAGGATTTGCATGTTGCCCTGTCATGTCAACAGAGCAGTGATGACAGCATATGTGGAATTACCTCCCACAAGTTCAACATACAACCAGAGGAGCACAGAAGAAGGAGAGCAGACAGGGAGACAACTACAAAATGTAGGGAACAGGAGAGGAAAGTGAGGCAGATTATAGCTCAGCAAACCTCAGTGAACCAAAGATACCAGGCCATACTGACACTCATTTGACTGCAGTTTAAGTGGCTAAATTGGGCCAGTAATGGTATAATAGCAAGAAAATGCTGGGTAAGCAGTTTAATGTAGGTTTTTACATTAATTTATATTAAAGTCAACGTTTATATTTACGATGTCATTAAATAAGGCAGGTGTCAGCCCAAAAAATTTTTAATTAAGTTTTCTTGTTTGCATAAGATAGGATTCTTTTCCTTCCAACAACAAGCATAGGAACAAGCATATAAAATGTCAGTAAACAGTTGGAAGAAGTTTTTGTCTTACCACAGTTAAATGAACATTTACATTTTGGTCACACTCATCTGTGAGGTGTAAACACTGCAGTAACTGAGTGAGGAGACTAGACGCTTCTCTAGGCACAGCTGCTGAGCTAATGTCCAAATCCAGTGTTTTTCCGATGAATCCAATGAATTTACTTGAAGACAAACTTAAATATAAGTCTTCTTCATTAGGAGGAATACACACAATATAGAAGTGAAACCAGTGCTGTGTTTATTGATTAATTTGTCCCTAATATCAATTAATTATCATGATAATCAAGGTCTCAGTATAAATCAAACCAATTGCGATTATCATTTCGGACATAATTGTGCAGCTGTCAGTCTGTGGCAGTAGCCTGGTATCTACATATTCCATGAATGCGCACTAAAACTTGCACTGTGCAGACTGTATAGTCATCAAATTGTTCGTCACTCAGACTTTCACGTACTTGCAGATGAGGGAAGTACAACATTAGCTGAAGCAGGCCCTTACATGCTGCTCTCACACCCAATTTAGCCAATTTTCATTGATTATAGTGGAAGTGTACCGTTGCAGCAGCCGTTCTCTGCATACACTGTATGTTCACTGTATACGTGGCTCATACAAACACAACAGAACGTCTCAGTACGTGCACACTCAATGCTCATGTGGCTGCCACACACACACACACACACACACACAAAGGACTGTAATTGCTGCTGAATGTGATGTGTGGGTACTTACTGGGTCTTGTAGTAAATTCATGAAGCCAAATAGGTAATTATTTACCACAATAGTGTGGGACTGATTCTGGTTAATTACAGATTGCTAATTGTTCCCATTCTGTGAATTCCACCACACTACAAGAACACTGTACTCTGGACCGTCGGTCGGGAATAAGAGAGCCCAGCTGCGCGCTGACTCTCCAGTGTTTCTGTCAATCTGCACTTCCTCCCTGCATTTGTTTTTTTTATTTCTCTGATCTGCATCCTTTGTCGTTTTATTTTCTTCTGAAGATTTTCCTCCATATGTGTATTGCTAAGTGCCTGAGGAAGGGCAGTATGGAGTTTGAGGTTGTCTTTATGAAAAGAGAAATTATGGATTCTCCGATTCTGTGACTTCCTAATCAGATAACATGTTTAGTTCATAGGAGCAAATATCGAACAAGCCAAGATTCTGTAATGTTACATAGCAGAGTTTAACCACTGACTGTGACAGCAGGTACTGCAATAGTGCCAGTTTACACTAATAGATGCAACTCAGCTTTTCAAATATGACTTATGTAGTGTCTAAAAGGACTATTTCTCTGGATTTGGAGTGGTAAGTTAGCTATGGGATGGATGCAAAGATGCAATTATCAGTTCTCAACCTGAAGACACACTGCTGATCACCAACTAGTTTGAGTTTTAAGATATATGTTTTGAATTTCTTTGGACCTTTGGTGGAAACAGTAGTGATTCCCTCATTTTCCACTTAGCGTGTAGATGAAAGATGGCAGCCCTGGACTTCCCAGGCTACATAGTGAACATTGAACCACGTCCCTGAAATATCTTTCTTTTTCTTTCTTCTCAGGCCTCAGTAACATCATTGGAATTATTGTATATATCTCAGCCAACTCTGGCGACCCGGGTCAGAGTGACAGCAAGAAGTCCTACTCCTACGGCTGGTCCTTCTACTTCGGCGCCCTCTCCTTCATCATGGCTGAGATGGTGGGCGTTTTGGCCGTGCACATGTTCATTGAGAAGCACCGCAAGCTACGGGCCAAATCCCGCACCGAGCTAATCAAGAAGTCCGCCTTCAGCCGCATCCCGTCCTACCGCTACCGCTTCCGGCGCCGTTCCAGTGTGCGTTCCTCCGAAGCCCCCAGCCGCGATGCCTCACCGCTGGGCAAAGGTGGCTACACAGGGCCCGCTGCCTCCGAGATGCCCATGTACACGCTGAACCCACGGGAGGCCGGCAACGCTGGCACCAAATCAGGTGGCGGCATGGGCGGGCTGCTCAATTCAGAGAGGGAGTTCCTCCAGAGCAGCACGCTCACTAAAGACTACAGCAAGGACCCCAACCGCAGGACCACGCCTGTCTGAGAGGTGCTGGCTGTAGATATCGCCCGATCAGAGTATCAAAGAGTTGGATGATCAGAAATACAGGGGGAGGTGCGAGCAAAAGCAGGGGACACACAGGGTTGCGGGGTGGGAAAGGGGGTTTGATAATCTATGACTGTGAACTGTGAACTTTTAGCCTTTGAACTGTGAATCCTGAGCCCTGTGAGAGTTTCAGTGTTTGTAGCAGGGTCAGTTTTGACGGAGAAGTTGTTCCCAACTCCACTTCACCACATATCACTGTAGTTATACCTGTGACTCCTTATATATGAAGGCATATTCAATTTATGTTCATGAGTTTCTATGTCCATAAATTGACTTTCTGGCATTTTTCTCAAGGAGGGAAACAGGATTGGCAAAAACTTTCAAAGCATATCGTTAAGTGGTTTCCTGTTTGGGGCAACTTCTCCTAAAAATGAAACTAATGTGAATTTGAAGAGATGAGGAAAGAGGTGACAGACTTTGTGTGATCTTTGACCTTTTGACCTCTGACCTTTTGGACATCAGCAGAGCTGGATCAATGAAGGGAACAGCCTTAGAGCTCCCAGCTGACTCTCTGATTACGATACTATTTAAAAGTGAGGAAGTTAATACCTCCACATAGGGGTTGATTCATTTTCAGTTCAGCTGGGTTCAAAATATAAACTGAAGATGTAGTGTGTCCATTTATCACAGCTCATTTGTGGCACTACTTATTGTTTTCTATACATATTGTATATACAGTCCTTTCACATTGATTGATTTTATCATGGGAAAGCTCACTTCACAAGTGTCTGAACTGAAACTGAATTGAGCTGGTAGCATTTACCCCCATCGCTCCGATCGCAGGTCAGCTGTTAAACTTGCATAGCGGTTTTTAAAGAGTGGAAAAGAGTACATTGACAGCAGATCATGCGTTAGAGGCTGGGTAGAACAGGTGTAATTCAGCAAAACTGATGAATCTCTTTTAGATGGTAACATTAGATCCATTGGTGCTTCCTTTTACGTCTCTTTTCTGACACATCTTGATTTATTTATTTTTTTCACCTAAAACTTAAAGAGATGATCAGATGTTCATCTGTCAGTCTGTCTGTCGGCCTTCACGTATCACCTTTCACCTTCCACATTTTTCTGTGTAGCCCCATAACTCACCCACCTCACTGGCACACCTCCGCACATCCTCTCACCCTCGTCTTTCCTCTCTTCAAGGGGACACTCAGCTAGATTTAGGTCCTGTCTTCCGTTGGTGTCGCTTGTAGTAAAAGGTTTTTAGAAGTTGTTGGTTCAGGGTACTGTGGAGAGGAGACCGCTGAGCTGTGAATATGCTTTAAGGCAGTGCCAAAAAGACATTAAACAAACAAGAGATGGACTTTTTTTTTGTTTGCCCACTACCTCTTGGTGAATATCTTTCAGATGAATTTAATATAAAGTTGTCTTTACTTGCCAGAACAACTGTCAAAATTTGCGCCGCAGAAATAAACACTAAGAAAAATGCTCACTTCAGTTTAAAGTACGCATCTCTCTCTCACCGGAGGACCTGAGTGTGTGTGTGTGTGTGTGTGTGTGTGTGTGCGTGCGCGTGTGTGTGTGTGTGTGTGTGTGCACGCGGCACACAATTTGAAGATAGCTAGATGGAATTGGAAGAAATCCGTTATTCAAAGCATTTCTGCTCCATCCCTTCAGCTGTCACTCACAGCCTCCTCGCTCCTCTTTATCTCCCTTACATGTGCACCTACTGTATACATCTGCTCAAACACACACGCACGCGCGCGCTTTCACACAACATAAGCCTAAACACATCTTTTCCCACGTCTCCTACCTGTGACAGGCACAAACAATTATCATATTCCCTTCAGTTTTCACCGTGACGGATTCTGGAGAAGAATCAATACATTTCCATCCAACTAGATCAGACACGTGAATGTGAGGTTACTTGCGGTGAAAAGTTTTGGGGAGGGGGAAAAGACTCGACTAGCCATGTGATCCGAGTCCTGGAAAGAGCAACGTAGACGCGGGAGATAAAGAGGAGATGAGAGGAGCTCAGTCTCATTTTTATAGTTTAATAAACCAACAATTTAGCTGTGAAGTTTAAAAAAAGGTGTTTAGGCGATTGACTTTCAAAGATAGAAACGTGTCTGTACCACTGACACTTAATTCAACATTTGCTTTAATAACACAACTGCAACTTATCAGAGCTTTCTTGTAATATTACTGAACTGGTATGTGTTATTATTTGCATTTTGCTGCCTGTGTCCATTGCAAGAGGCAACAAATTAAGAGATAAATCTCTCATCCTATGGCAACACTTTCAAATAGCCCAAAAAAAAGCAATGCTAAAACAATCGATTGTTCAAAAGGCTGTATCAAGACGGCAAAATAGCCATACAGCAGAGAAAGGGAGAGTTGCGGAAACACAAGCAACTTTTTTCACAGCATTTTCTCAACCTGTTTCTGGGACTGTGAGTAACAAGTGTAACTCAAAGAGGGGGGAGGACAAAAAAATGCATTTTGTTTTTTTTTTTTTAACTCCCCTAGCCACCACTGCACTGTTTTGTATAAACTAAACATGAAACAACACCAAGCTGATACCGTCACGCACTACTTTGACAGCTATTACCCTGATAATAAAAAGATGTTTTAAACCTCAGTCACACTGTTTAATTTATGATGCTGCTGTTTTATCTCCTGTCCTTTACGCCATAAATGGAGCTTAAAGGGACAAACGCGCATCGCTGTGGACTTGCTCTTGCTGTCCTCCACGTGTAAATATTAATTTTGCAAGCTAACTACAACATCAGCAGTTGTCATGGGCTGTGAAAAGGGAAAAAAGGAAAAAAAAAAACTGCTTTTCTCCAAGCAAGGGCTTTTAATTTTTAAAGGACAGGAGCACACAAGGGCTTTTTATGCTCAGCACTGCAGCAATGTTGTTTTAAGGGTGTAATGTGGGAGGGAGGGAAGAAAAGACAAAGTACATTTGCACAGAAACAACCGTTTTTAAACCAGCTGAATAGCTAACCAATAATATAACACGCTTCATGCAAAAGAGCAGCAGAGCGAGAGAAAACTTTACTCTTCTACTCGGCTACTTTTTTGGCTATCATTAGGTTAGATAAGTAACTTTTTGAAGTAATTAGAGGTGAAGAATATTGCCTTAAGCAAAGGTAGGATGAGTTAATCAAGAATTATTTGAATTGCTTACGATTCAAGCATATATTAGCAAAATATGGTTAAACATACTTGGTGCCAAATATTACTCAAAACGTCTCCTGTGTATCACGGCCTCCAGGTTAGCTTTAGATCCATAGGTTTGCTGCTGTAAGTACTCTTTTTCTGCATAGAATTTACTGACTCAGCAGTAGTAGCTATGTAGCTTAGAACATCAGGGGCCCGTCAGATCCTGAAAGGTCTGTCAGGGGTCAAAGTTCAGAACTGCCATCCATGAGCCATGTCAGCATTGACCATTCAAACCATGCATGCCATATCCATTTGCTTCCAGTGCTTACATTCGCTGTATCTCCAATCGAGTCTCAAACGGCACCCTAATCTCTGTTCTCCGTAGGGACACTCGACTGCTACATTAAAGACGCCTTACAAGGGTGCGTGGGCCCGTAAGCCTGAGCTGTATTGATGTTTACTCCAATAGAGCATGGGGTGCTTTTTGAGACCATTTCTTCTTACCACCATACAGCTTTGATACTCTGATATCAACAAATAATTGTATTATTAGTAGAAAAGTATTCTATTCTAAAGGTGCCACTGTGCAGAGGAAGACAAACTCTGTCACATATTATAGTTATTAATCTATTCATTGGGGTGGGGGAGGGAGGGAGTTGGGTTGATTGCAGGGAGCAGAGTTGGGAGGCAGGGGTCGTAGTCTTTCTAATATTATCTTATTCTAGTTTCATTTTCTACTTTGATGTGGTTGTGAGGTTGTACTGTTTTGGTCACATCTGAAGCCTCTTGACAGGAGGAGACGGTGGAGCGCTCGGACGATCTCTCATGGACATAAACCTCACCTCACTGGTGCCAGAGGCCACTTTACAATTTGCCAGCGGGACACTCTGCACCGCAACACACACACTTACACTATACATGCATTCCAAGTAACAATACTCACAAGCTAATGTACTTTTGAGGACTCTTTAACCCACTGTGATCCAGTACAAAAGTTTTTGTTAGGACCAAAACAAGCAGTGTAAGACAGCAACAGAAACACCATAAATTTGTTGGAGAGGCTTAAATTCAATTACGTTTGAATTGTATTGCACAGAGGTTGCTTTTGCATTACCTCCTCTTGGATAAGAAAAAAAGTAAGATTTTGGGAATGTTCTCATTAACTTTTTGTCAAGAATTAGATGAAAGGATTGGTAGCAGCTGGCGAAATTAGCTAAGCACAGAAACTAGTGAAACAGATAGCCTGACTTTTAGCACTCTAAAACTTAAATATTTAAAGATTTTTAAAAATGTTGGTTTTTTTCACCTTGTTAACATGTTCATTTTGTGTTCTTTACATGCTAGAAGACACATAACGAGTGAAAACAAGCAGTCAGCGCCGTGGCTGAGCATTTCCACCTTGAAACTGCAGCTGTAGTCCATAGACTATGAAAAAAGATGGACGTAGTCACTTGTTGCTTTATGGACTGCCAGTTTGGATTTTGTTTTTTTACACTGGATGTAACTATGGCTGAGAACTTGAGGACAGAATGTATGGTAGCAACCATTCTAACACAAGGAAGCCCCACCTTAAAGCAGCTTTACTGACTATTGTCCTCTAAATGGGACCATAATTTACAAAACTAACACCATGCAATATAGAAGTAGACTTGAAACCAGTGATTAAAACCATAAACTCCTTTAGAAAATGTTTACTGAGGTAACAAAGCAAGTGAGAAGTAGGGTCGTTTTCCCATTAACTCTTATATAATCTTACTTCTTTCTGCACCCAAATGAGCCGCCCCCTGCGGGCTGTTAGAGAGAATGCAGGTTTAAGGCACTTCTGCTTTGGG